ATGTCAGATATTCCTGGGACACTCTGCTTTTGGTTTACTGTCTGTATATCCAGAAATGGATGATGGATCCTTAGGGGCAATATTTTCAGTTTTGGGTGAACCCCATACTCCTTCCTCTGTTGCTGTTCCCTCTTCTCATCCCAGGAGGACCTCTGCATCACTCTCACTTTGATCTTTCCTTTGAAACTTCTTTGACCTTTCTGCTTTTTATGAGTCCATTTTTCCCACCTTTTAAAATGAAAATGAGATCAATTGATTAAGAGTTGAGAGCTGATATCTTGATTTGAATTTGCATTGCTCTGATGATGAGTGCTATTAAGTATCTCCTCAAAGAGCTGTTGGTTCTTGGTGTGCTTTACCTGGAGAGTACCCCTGCTTCTTCATAATGTGGTTATTTGAATCCTTGTGATTGTGTTGATTATTAATTATTAAAATAGTAACAAGAAGTACGAAGACGTTTTAAATTTTAGAATACCCAGGGAACTCCTTCTTGCTTAGCTGCTTTAGATATACAGATTTTAGTATGATTATCCTATATTCTAATATCCAACTTATAAAGGAGTATATACTATGTATGACTTTCTGCTTCTGGGATACCTCACTCAGGATGATCTTTTAGTTCCCACCATTTAGCTGCAATTTCATGATATCCTTGTTTCTAATAGCTGAGTAGTATTCCATTGTGTAAATGTAACAGTTTCTGTATCCATTCCTCCATTGAGGGACATCTAAGTTGTTTCCAGTTTCTGGCTATTACGAATAGAGTTGCTATGAACATGGTTGAGCAAATGTCCTTGTTGTATACTTGAGCATCTTTTGGATATATACCTAGGAGTGGTATAGCTGGATCTTCAGGTAGCACTATTCCTAATTTTCTGAGAAAATGCCAGATTGATTTCCAAAGTGGTTGAACAAGTTTACATTTCCACCAGGAATGGAGGAGGGTTCCCCTTTCTTCACATCCTCTCCAGCATGTGTTGTCACTTGAGTTCTTGATCTTAGCCATTCTGATGGGTGTAAGGTGTAGTATCAGGGTTGTTTTGATTTGCATCTCCCTGATGACTAAAGATGTTGAGCATTTCTTTAAGCCATTCGATATTCCTTTATTGAGAATTCTCTGTTTAGCCCTGTACCCCATTTTTTAATTGGATTACTTAAGCAAGAAGGAGGTCTCTGGGTTAGATGCTCAATCCTCATTCAGAAAGGCAAATGGGATAGGCCTCCCTTCTTAGACCTCGGAAGATGGAGAAAGCAGGGAACAGGACAGTAGCATACCACAGAGGGCCTCTGAAAGACTCTAACCAGCAGTGTATAAAAGCAGATGCTGAGACTCATATCCAAACTTCAGGCAGAGTGCAGGGAATCTTATGAAAGAAGGGGGAGATAGAAAGACCTGGAGGGGACAGGAGCTTCACAAGGAGAGCAACAGAACCAAAATATCTTGGCCCAGTGGTCTTTTCTGAGACTGATACTCCAACCAAGGACCATGTATGGAAATAACCTAGAACCCCTGCACAGATGTAGCCCATGGCACCTCAGTGTCCAAGTGGGTATCCTAGTAAGGGGAATAGGGCCTGTCTCTGACATGAACTCAGTGGCTGGCTCTTTGATCACCTCTCCCTGAGGGTGAGGGGCAGCCTTACCAGGGCAAAGAGGAAGACAATGCAGACAGTCCTGATGAGACTAGGGTCAGCTGGAAGGGAAGGAGGACCTACCCTATCAGTGGACTAGGGGAGGGGTATGGGAAGAGAAGAGGGAGGGAGGGCAGGATTGGGAGGGGGTGAGGGAGGGGGCTGCGGCTAGGATACAAAGTGAACAAATTTTAATAAGTAAAATATATTTTTTACTTATTAAATATATATATGGGAATGGGGGCAGAATTAGGAGTAGAACCCAGGGCCTCACACATGCTAAACTACTATTCTGTCACTGAGTTGGACCCTCAGTCTTTACATGCTATTTTTTTAATTATATAAATTCACATATAATATTTACAAGGTCAATGTCTCAAAGAAAGTTTCCTTGTATAGTAGAATATGTAAATAGGCCTATTTTCTGGATGTCTGGTTGATAGATGGAATTTTACCCCTCAGGACATTTTTTCCTTTTTTGAAACATAGCAGAAAAATAAATGTTTATAAGAAAACAAGAGCCTAAAAATTCTCTTTACACATATAATATATATGTACACGTATGCTGTATTATATATAATATACATATTAACTTACAGATACCAATTGATAAGTCTCTATCACGAGCAATCCTCAGAGCATTTGTGCCCTGCCCTGTTTATCAGCATGTTAGTGAACTGTTGTCCAGTACTCTTTTTCTAGATCAAAAAGTAAATGTTCTTTTACTAGTTTCTCCATTACTTGGTTTATGATTGTAGGGCATGAAGACCATCAGGGAGGCTGAGCTGATTTTAAGTCACTGGTGGGTTGGGTTGGGTTGGTTTGGGGTGGGGTTGTTTTCATTTTTCCACTTAATTTTATTTTAGACTATTATTTTAATGATATTTTCACGAAATAAAAAACTATGCCACGGAATCAACATTGTTTTTGGATGTGCTTTTGACATGGGTAAGTGCATGGTAGAAAAAGAATTATGTATGTGTAAAGACAGAACCACAAAGTCATAGGACTTGAATTTGAATGCTCTTCCAATTTCTTCACAGATATAGGATTTTGCTCCCTTCTTAGGATGCCCTTTCTTCAACCAAAACAGATATTAATGAAGACATACTCATGCGTGTGTGTGTGTGTGTGTGTGTGTGTGTGTGTGTGTGTGAGCACGGGACCTCATGTAAGCTCTTGAACTGTATCTCAAACTTTTAAATATATTTTGTTTTTGAGACAATATCTTGCTAAGTTACTCCGCTGTCCTTCCCCTCACTCTGTAGTGCAACCAGGCACTGACTTTTTGTGCCTTCTGCCTCAGCTTCCTGAGTAACAGGGATTGTGGACTTGTACCAGCAGGTTTGAAAGCTTACTCTAAGAAATAACAGGTATTTGGGCTGGGTGAGGCAAGGCTTTTATGCCAGCATCCAGTGGTGGGAGGCAGATGAATCTCTGGGAGTTCATGGCCAGCCTGATCTACACAGCAAGTTCCAGCCTAGCAGAAAGGGTAATGAAACTGTGTCTATAAAGATGGATAAAAGAAAGATAGGTAGGAAGGGAGGGAGGGAAGGAAGATAAAAGGAAAAGAAACATTATAAGGGCCTCCATCACTGAAACTAATATCTGGTAATATCTCTCAAATTCCCAGTCTTGAAACAGTTGCTGAAGGAACTGTTTTTTGGGGAGATGAATGAACCTAGTGTTTTGGATGGCAGTACCCATCTCCATATTTAAGTGCTGTACATTAAGTGTATTTGAGTCTTTCAGTTTCTTATCTATGTTTCTGACTCTTTCGTTCAGAAACAATGAAAGTGGGAAACAGTGTAGTAAGAAACACAGGAGTAAGGGAAAGACGACAAAGGTGTGGAGAATGAGAGGACTTCCATTCCCCTTGTCAGCACCTGCCATTGAGCCTGTCCTTCAGAGCCCCAGGAGAACTGGCTCAGGAGCCAGGAGGTCCTTCTCTTGGGAGAAGGAAGAGGTGGGATTCCTTGTGGCCACAGGAATGGCCTCTACTTGGCGCTGGTGACCAGGGTAAATTAACAGACATAGGCCACCCCTTTCCTCATCAGAAGACTCGAGACTAGTGTGACACTAACCTCCACAGTGACCCACAGTGGCTCATTCTATCTGTTCTGGAAGTTTCTGCATTTGTTTCTTTCTGTGGTATTCCCTAATAGCAATCTGCTTGCTGCAGTGGTGGTCTCATCACCGTGGGCCCATTACAAGTGTTCTCACTCTGCTTGTACTGCACGCCTCAGAGGTTTGGGTACTTGGGTCCTTTTCAGATGCTCAAGATGAGCAAGATGCTCAAGATGCTCAGATGAACAAGCTAACATTTCAAGTGAGCTGCCCTCAGTGAGGAATATGTCAAGGAAATTTATATGTAAAATAACTACATTTACCTAATTAAAAAAAAATATTTTCTGAAATGGGGTATGGCAGCACACATTAGAAATCCCAGCACTCACAGGGCCAATATGGGAGCATCACAAATTCAACATCAGCCTGGTGTACCAAGCAAACCCCTGTCTTTCAGGATAAGGAAATCATAATGATTGAAAGAATTAAAATAGCCTGTGACTGGCTAGATTAAGAAATGACCCACCGAAATTTGTGACTTCCTTTCCTCAACTTACTGATGCTGGGGAACACTGCACAGAGTCCCAGGCCCCAATTTCCCACTTTCTCTCGAGAAGAATGTCGCATGAATTCTTGCATTTCCTTGCTTCTTCAAGATATGTCACAGTGACACCTTGCTCTCGTATGCCCAGTGTACTGGAACTGATGTTACTATAGCAACAGCACCCACAGGGTAGCATTCCCCTGTAAGTACAGTGGCTGGAACACGAGTCGGTTGAAAAGCTTCATGGGGGTTTTTATTAGTAGATGATGCAGTCCTCCGTTATGTACGGCTCCTGACCTATCCAAGGCTTACACATCAAGTACAGATCACCTGATGCTAATCACCTACAAATGTTAGATGGCCCAGAGTACTCTCACAGAAGCCAGTGCTGTAGCTGGTTCTTTGCACGGCATCCCTGACTAACATCTACAATGAGAAACCAAGAGCAAAGTGCAGGCCCAGAGCTGAGAACCCTTTTGTACTTACAGCACATCCTATGTGCCTAAAAAGCACCATTAACATTGGTTGCTAAATCAAGGAGGCCCTCTTTTGACCAAAGGAGATGGGCAATGGTTAACATCACAGAAGACATGTTTTCAACCCAGTGGAGGGGAAAGACATGTACTGAAGATAAAGATGGAATTACTGTAATTCCCAATGGGATTCTCTTGCAATGGAATGTACTGTTTGATGTTGATCAAAAGTGGTGAGAGCACTACTGGGGAGACTTCTAACACTGGATTTGGTTTGTTTTTCAGACATGGAGATGACTTGATTGTGACCCCATTTGCTCAGGTAAGCACAGCTTAGAGTGGGCAGGGCTTTCTCACAGATTCACACATTTTATGTAGGGATCTTACTCTGATTCTTACTGTAACTTTACTACATACATCTATGAGGATGCAAATTGTTTGCTTCGTTCATGTAATTAAAAGGCAATGCTGGAAAATGTAACCTTAGCCCTACAGATGTGCTTTGTGTAAGGCTGTTAGACCTGAGGAGTGTCTGTACTTCAAATAACAAGTTACCAAGAGAGAGAGTACCCAGCGGGCCCCTATTTCCCTAACAGGAATTAGCGCCAGAAGGAGACTGTATCATGGATTAAATTACATCTTGTATAATTAGTTCATGATCCGTGTTTGAAATTCAATAAGCCTGTTCAACCTGATACTTTATTTACTCCTTTTTTACATGTGTTATTTGTACAAAGATTTAGCTGAGTAACACATTTGTGTTCTTCATGCGTAAGAGGTGAGAAGATTTCAACTCCATGACACAGATTGAGATGATAAAATGACCTAAAGTGTTTTGGACTGTGTCTAGAATAGTGAAGGACCCAGGGTTTTGTTGAGCAAGATGGAACCTCAAACATCTTGGGTAGATTTAATTATCTGAATGGAGATTTAAAAAAAAATCAATGTTTTATTCTAATGTCCAAATCATAACCAGATTTAGGTACTAGCTAACATCTAAACTCTTTCCTACTCTTAAGTTTTTGAACTTCTGATCTTTTATATTAGCTCTGAGGCTCGCTGGTCCACAGAAAGAGGTGTTAACTTTAGTTAGCTTGTATATTTTATTTTAAAATGATTCTTCTCTGTGTTCAACGTTTTTTCTTAGGCATGAAGTCTCGTGTTGGGAGGAGTCCCTCCCCCACCTGTTCCTCATGCCCACTCTTAATTTCTTCCTATTGAACATAGCAACAGTTTAGCCAGGGTCTTCAGGGCCAACGAACATAGGAAGAGTAAAAGCTGTGCTGGAAGCTGGAAAGCTGTCTCTGCAATCAGCTGCTTATTTCCCACAGTCCACTGGTTTTGACTGCCTTTCTAAAACACAAATCCTGTGTTCCTGGTAGCAAGCATCCAACCCCTGGGTCCCTAGAAACAAACATCCTTGAGTCCTTTAGATACAGGAGATATGCCTGTTCTGAAAACATTGGGTGGAAACAACTCTATCATTTTGCTTGTGTCAGACACCTAGATAGTTTCAGGGGGAAATTACAGTGCTCATTAACACTATGGGGAATTATTGTCCCATGAGTTATAGGGCATCAATAGCATTTTTTAAGCCCCAGCCTGCCCCCTCCCATCCCAGCTGGAGCCAGATTCCAAATTGTGGCCAATTCCAACTTGTGGCCAAATTCACTGACTACGTGGGGAGCCCTTTTGGGCAGTGGGGAAGATTGCTGTCTCCTTTTCAGTTGGCTTTTTGCTCTACTTTTATAAAACAAACAAGCAAAAAAAGACAAGTAAACAAGTAACTCCAACCAACCAATATACCAAATGAAACACAACAAAAACTTGTATGTCATCGGGATGAATTATAGTTAGCATCCTTCTAGATGGCTCCATTCTTACTAGAAAGTCATTATGAATTCGCCTAGAGCTTTCTGACACACAGAAACAATCACTTCATGTATTTTAAAGTAAAACTTGGAAAGAGGTTTTATTTTCAACAAAAGTAACTTTTTTATCCTGTAAATAATTTTCCACTGATGTTTTTATTTTTTATTTTTTTCTGAAGTGAATCCTGAGAATCTTTGACCTCACAAGAACACACCTCCCCTCCCCGTCCCCCTCCCTGTCCCCCTTCCCCTTCTCCCCCTCCTCCTCCTCCTCTTCCTCCTCTTCCTCCTCCTCCTCCTCACTGCCTTGTATTTCAGTCTATGTTATACTGACACCCAGTGGCATACTCTGTGTATGGCCTGGAAAACGATCCTGAAAAACCTTTCTTTCATTCATTCACTTTAGCTGTTTAATGAAGCCAGCCTTTTTTTTTTTTCCTGCCAACCTCAATGAATCCTGTTGGCTAAGAAATGTTTGAAAGCACCTAAAGGAGCCTGAGAATTTTGTGTGTGAATATTCCAACCCTGTACCTAGCCCATGAACAATTATTTTTTCCTGTAGTGTTATCACTGTTTATTGTTAAGATTTTATAATTTTTCATCATTCCTGCTTGTGTGTGTGTTTGTGTGTTTGTTACTTGCCTTAAGCAATTACACACTTACTTGGAGAAGCAATGACTTTAATTTTCTAAGCCTGAGCCATCTAGAAGACACTGTAGGGATCCTTTGAAAATAAGCATTAAGGAGGCGAGAAAATTCTCTACACTGCAGAGCCAGGACTGCAGCTTCTAATGCTGGGACTGAGCATATGCAGAAAGCTGCTCTGGAACAGAAAAGAATCCATGAACCTGGACCTTCATCTAGGGCCTCTGCTAAACCCTTTTCCTCTTTTTCTCCTCCTCTGGCAAGGCTTGCTTCCCTCCTTGTGTCCTGAGAGACAAGAGTGTTTAAGGGGGAAAAAAAAAACTTAGCAATATTTGTAGGAAGAATGTCAGTTTAGTCACCGAGGCCCAGAGCCACATCACATGTGGCTCATTCATCTGGAAAGCTTCTATTTCCATTTCTGCCAACATCATATGAGTTACGGAGTGGAAGATATTGTTAACATTTTCATATAAAACCATCTTCGTCCCACCACAAATCGCAACAGTGACCTAATCCAGACTCACTTCCATGTTTTTTCAATGTCATTTACTACAGAGTTTACAACTGCATATGGAAAATACAGCCTAAAAGTCAGCATGTCAAAGGCAGGCAGACAATGCCTAAGGGGAGGATTTTCACCTCACTTTCATTTTGAAATGTGTCATACTATATATGTAGTAAATATATAAATACATACTATATATGTAGCAAATATATAAACAGTGAAACAAACAGCTAAGAAATGGAATAATATTAGTGCTTCAAATACCATCCTCCCCAATTCCATTTGTCTGTCTGACCCATTCCATTTTTCTGTCTGTCCACAGAAGTAACAATCATTTGATTTTTATCCCAATTATGGAGCTAGATACTTTTTGCTTGACAACTTTCTTTGTTGTTTAAATTCTTTGACAACCAAAAATAAGAATTATTTCAAAAAATGCACAAAATTTGCATGCTAAAACCAAAAATATATTTCAAATTAATATCTTACTAGTATAACAAAAATTAACTTTCTATGTATGGTAGTAGGCACCTTTGGAATGTATGGTAGTAGGCACCTTTAACCCCAGCAACCCAGGAAAGGAGCAAGCAAATGTATGAATAGGAGGCCAGTATGGTCTATAAAGTGAGTTCTAAGCCAGCCAGGGCTACATAGCAAGCCCCATCTCAAAACAAAACAAACCTCTCTACAGAAAAGATTTCAGTCATACAAATGTTTTCCTAGCTGGGCTAATTTTTTTCAAATAATTATAAATGATGAATTACCTGCAAAACTTTTCCTACAGAAATGAAATACTGAAGCTACTACTTCTATTTCCTAATGGCCAAATGTCACTGGGTAAATGCTTAACTGTTTTATAGCGGAGTGAGAGATCTCAAAATTTTGAAGCAACACTCTGTGTTTAAATACTTTTTAACGTGTTTGATATTCACATCCTAAAACACAAATAAGGCCAGTGTGATTTCATGACTGGATCATTAATCCTTTTATTTCTGCATCATTCAGAATTTCATGCCCCATGAAAGACACTGTGGTCTGACGTCAGTCGCTAGCTATTTGGATACTCCGTCACAAGCAGGGTGACCTTTCAGAGCTGTGTGTGATAATGAGCCAGGTTTTCCAGTGACTGGCTGGCTTCCTAGGAGGCACCATGAACTCCTTCAGGGGGACTGCTGAAGGTCACTGCTGCGGAGCATAAACAGCTCCCTTTGACTTGCACAAGTTCCCATCCACTCCCAGAAACAAATGCGTGAGATGCAGAGTGCTTTCGTCTGGATCACAGTCTGATGAAGAAACTCGGGGCACAGTTCTCAGTCTCCTGGGTCAATTAGAAATTTGAGGATTCTCTGTATTGTCACTGATAAGCATTAAGTAAACTTCCCATGCACCAGATAATTAAATGGAAGTTTCCATAATGAACACACAGTCACCACATACTTTTGGCTTAGGCATGTCGTTGGCATTAAGCAGCAGTTTCCTTTAACCGTCACAACAACCCTAACGGGTAGATAGCGCTATCTCTCTTTTACACACAGGAAACGGGGGCACAGACTGTCAGGGTGTTTTGTGTTATAGGACTTCATAATCGCATGAAATCCAACCACAATGGCATGGGCGCTGCTGGGGACATTGTGTTGGTGACTGAAGAACTCCCGCTACTGTTCCCTCAAACAAAGCCAGTGAGGAGGGGTTTCTACAAAATTTTGGGAGTCCAACCTCCCTAGATTTCATAACCAGGATTAAATTTTTTTTTTCTGAGTCCTGGAAGATTCTGTTATAATACGCGAAAGCAGCGTTTGTTTGTTTGTTTGTTTGTTTTTTATATAATTTTTTTTCTTTAAAAAAGAATGTTTAGCTGCACTACAACTGACCCTTGTTCAAGAACTCTAAAGAACTCTCTTTTTGTCATAGGTCCTGGCCAGCCTGAGAACTGTAAGGAACAACTTTGCTGCATTAACTAATTTGCAAGATCGAGCACCCAGCAAGTAAGCTACCCTCTCCCCCGTCCTCCACTGAACCTTTAGTGTGTTCTCAGCTTGAGCTGAATGCAATACAATACATGAGACATCTTTGAGTCATCTTCACTGTCCAGCTGTGGGGCCGATGTCATGCAGTGTCCACTTCATTTTCTACAATTACTCTCTAGTGACATTCCGGTTTGAAATAAAGAAGTGGGAAAAGTAAACTCGGTGATCCCATCTGTCAGAAAGAGCCCAGGAGGATAGGCCCTCTGTTGTTTAACACTCACAGGTTCTACTTGGTTTGGAAATTATCCATTTGTCATGTGTTCACATGTGTATTCCCAGTTACCTTCCTAATACAGAGTAAACATCCTGCGGGCACTGCAAATAGTCAAGAGGTAGTAAGACATTTGCACCCCAGGGCCGTGCTCTGAGGAATCCATTTCTCGCCAATGGCGTTTTCAGTGCAGCCTGGCCAGCTGTACCATGTCATACTGACCTCAGAAGCAACTTGGGCTTTTGGTACCATATCAGGAACAGTCACCTCACTTTCGTAAAAGTCTCAGCTCAGAAGGAAAGATGAAGCCGTGGCTTGCCACTCTCAAATGTGTCCGTTGCGAATTTCGTCTAAGAAATCCAGTTCTTTATCTTTTAAGTTTCCCTCAGATGCTGTCACCCAGGGAGCAGCATTTAAACTCGTGACAGTTGATCTGACAGGCACGAGGGCATCACACTGACCCTCGTGTCCATTCTCAGCATAGACCAAGCAGGCATTTTCAACGGATTTGCACGGACAGAGCAGATTTAAACAGGAAGAAGGAAGATAGAAACTCAGAACTAACCCCGGAACATCCATCTAGCTTGGCCCAGGGTAACTGATCCCTCTAGAGCCATGGCTCTCAGCTGTCCTAATGTTGCCACCTTTTGATACAGTTCCTCATCTTGTTATTCCCTAACTATAGAATTGTTTTCCTTACTTATTCATACTTGTACTTTGTTATATTAGGAACCTTAGTGCAAATAATTTTTAGATATAGAGGGTTTTGCCAGAGGCTTGTGACCCACAGGTTGAGAACCACCTCTCTGGAGGGCTCAGCATTTGCCTACTGGGCACCACTGGAACATTTCAAAGTTCATCATCACACTTAAAGGGGAGAATGTGCTTTTTTTTTTACTTTCTTTAGGAAACGACTTGAGTGAGAACGTGCCCTAAGCTTGGCTGCAGGTGTGGTAACCTGAACTCATCGCTGACATGTTTAAAGCCCACTGATAGTTTCTATCACTGCCATCAACATATATATATATATATATATTCCCAGAAGGGAGGTTTGGCTCATTCTTCCCTAAATGATGCACCAATGTCCTCAGGGATCTAATGGTCAATGTTTATGCATTATTGTTACTCTTTGGGGCCCCAGGTTCCCACATGTAAGCCAGAGAACTGATCCTAGGAAAAGATAAATACTAACAAGGCGACGATTTGGCTTTCTAAAATTACAGAGAGGCCTAATGTCTTCATTCGGTATTCCCACGCCAAGGGAGCACTTTCTACATTCTTACAGAACAAGAACTGAAAAGTTTTGTCAACATATGAGTTATCTGAGTAAAGTCTGGTCTACAGCAGTACCACGCTGGGCATGCCCTGCCGTGTGCGTGCGTAACACACCTCAGCAAGACACAGACCAGAGCAGCCGTCCGAAAGATTTCTAAAGTGAAGCACTTGCCAAGTTCACATCTCCAGTCACATGCAAAACTTAAGTACAAAACTGGCGCCAATAAACTTAAGAACAGCGGTGCAACTGGGAGGCTGAGTGGAACCAGTCAAAGCCAACATCATGTTAAGATGGCTTTTCCCAGGTGTCCTGCAGCTCAGGTGGGAGACATGGCCTTCCAGCAGGTCAGTGTAAAGGGCTAAGCACACACACACACACACAATGAACTCACCTGCCTCGAAGCTGGTCATAAGGATTAAGTGAGATAACTCATTTAAAGTACAAGTTTAACTCATTTAACAAGATAACTCAGTTAACAAGATAACTCATTTACAGCACAAGTTCTAGCCCACAGCAAGGACTTAGTAAGTGTTAACCACTAGAAAACAAACAAACAAAGCATGTATGTGCACACACATGCACATACATGAAAAAGGCCTTGGATGTTTTGCAGAGAGATACTCTCTCAACTGAGTATCTGTTTCTTGAAGGCTGTTTAAAGATCTCTGGCCTGTGTGGGCTGCCAGTGATAGCAAATAACTTTAAATTTAAAATAACATATCTCCTCTACTTGCAGCGTACTTTAAAGGAGTCATTCACTCCTGGCAGTGTACAAGAAATCATGAGACTAGAAGCCAGAGCTAAGTTTCTAATCCTGCACCAGGGAAAGCTATTATAAACTGACCACATTTTTATATTCAGAAAGTCTGTCTTCTTCTCCATACCCTGTCTTAATTGAGTACAGCCAGCCAGTAAGAATGCCCCCTCCTGGCACATCCTATGATGTTTCCGTTTAATCCAGTGCCCATCGCTTTCCTAGAGTCCAACCACGAGATTTAGGTTGACATTTTTCTTTTCTCCCTCACTTTTCCCCTCAGTAGTCTGAACTACAGTGAAGGTGCATCCAAGAGCTTTACTGGCTAAGCCGAATGTGCCTTTATGTTCATCTCCTAACTCAAACAACTCTTTGGATTAGCATGCATATTCAAAACAACTTAGGTTACTGAAGTCGAAAGAGCACCATGCATTTATCACTTCGCGTTTTCTCTCTTTGTCAGGCGATCACCCATGTGCAACCAACCATCCATCAACAAAGCCACCATCACAGGTAAGAGAAAAACTGGAGTTTCTTTCTTCCTGTCTGGGAAGAAATCCTGTGCACTGATCCTTAGCCCTATGCCCTGTTCCTAACACCCATGTTATGCTGTGATTCTAAAATTTTAAAGAAACGAATGTTTCCCTTTTTATGTTTCCTTGTTGTCATTGTCTGCCAATGTGGTCCTCAACCTTCCTGATGCTGCAACCCTTTAACAGAGTTCCTCATATTATAGTGAACCCCCACCAGAAGATTATTTTTTTTGTTACTTCATAACTATAATTTTTCTACTGTTTGAATCATAATGTAAGCATCTGATATACAGGATATCTGATATGTGATCCCTGTGAAAGGCTCTTTAGACCTCCAAAGGTGTCAGGACCCACAGGCTGAGGACCACTCTCTCCCATGGTTTGCATTTGTGCTGTTCCTTGGGAAATATTTCCTGATTACCATGTTTTTACAGAGGCCAGTGTGTTTGGGCTTGACTTAGCATCACTGTAGACACTTGAATTTGGAGAGGTTGCATTACTGGTACAGTGTTATCTTTGTTGCCATGTTAGCTGCTCAGTATTGTCTCAGTGCAACGTAGATTAGTCAAGGTGGAAGAGTAAAGCTAGACGGAGCGGAACATGCCTTCAACCCTCACACTTGGAGAACTAGGGGAGGAGGATTGCAAATTTGGACCAGCCTGAGCTACTACATAGCAAGTTTGGGGTTATTCCAAACACCATCGTTAGAACTGTCTCAAAACCAAACAAACAACAACAACAAAAAAAAAAAAAAACAGAAAAAAGAAAAACTGAGTCTGGCAAGAAGGGTTAGCAGGTAAAGATGATTCTTTCGAAGCCTATGATCTGAGTTCAATGCCAGTACTCTTGTGGTAGAAACAGAACTCTCACAAGTTGACTTCTGACCTCCACAGGTGTGCCATGGCACATACACAGCAGCATACATGCACACACAAAATAAATATGCGAATGTTTAAAAATGTAAAAAAGCCAGACAGTGGTGACACGCACCTTTAGTCCCAGCACTCTAGAGGCAGAGGCAGGCAGACCTCCATGAGTTCGAGACCAGCTTGGTCTACAGAGTGAGTTCCAGGACAGACAAAGATACGCACAGAGAAACCCTGTCTCACCACCCCCCAAAAAGCAAAAAGATGCATTCCTTATTAACTAATGCCCAGTTTTTGCACAAAAAAATTATTACTATTCCATTAGTTCTCTTTGGAATTCAGAAAGCTGAGAACAAGTTAAAAGTTAGTGTAAGATATATATATATATATATATATATATATATATATATATATATATATAGAGAGAGAGAGAGAGAGAGAGAGAGAGAGAGAGAGATGTACATATAAATATACAATATATAATATATACATTGATATATATATATATATATATATATATATATATATATGAACTGGACCCAAGACTCGGGAAATGGCTTAGTGTCTAAAGGGATTGTCAAACAAGCAGGAGAACGCCAGCATTTGCTGAAGACTGAGTGTGGCACTGAACACCTGTAATTCCAGTGCTGGGAAGGTGAACGAGGGCGATGTCTGGGGCTCACTGGCCAGCCAGCCCAGCTGAATCAGGAAGCGCTGGGTCCCAGTGAGATTCTATGAAAAAAATATCCGATGGAGGGTGATTAAGAGAGACACTAGGCTTGGGTATCTAGTCTTCATATGCACATATATCTAAACACACATGTATGTTCATATGAACACACACACACACACCAGAAAAAGACCCACAGATATTTGGGGAAAACAATACAAAGGAAGTAAAGGAGATAGAAGAGTACTTCTCCCAATCCTATTAGTCCGTTTTAAACAGGAGTCTTGATCTCAACTGAACCAAATCCAGAATGATCTCATTTTGCCGAACTTGAGGCCAAATTGAGCTCATGTAATTGTTTCTTGAAACCCCAATTGATTCATTAAAATAATTGCCTGGAAAAGAAAAACCATGATTTCTAAAATTATTACCAGAAGAAAATTAGCATATTCTCCAAGCTAGACCAATTTTTTGGTTCAAGTGTCCTCTTTAAACCCCAGCCCATAATATGAGAAGGAGGCCCTTAAATGGCTTTCAGTGAATATGCTTTGTGGAAAATCGGCTGTGTCCTGACCAGTGTGCTGGTTCTATCTGTCGTCACCACACTGCAGATCATTCTGAAGTAGTGGTTAACCTTGTTTTCTTTCTTGAACGTCCCATCAAGTGGGAGTCACATTTTAATAACTATTAAGGTGTCGGTTCTCTCTCCTGAGTATGCTTATGATGATGTCACACCTTACTGTTTTAACACGAGCTTGGTTCACCACTTTGGGTCTTGCTCTTCATCAAGAGATGAGTAGTAAAAGTGCCTACCTACTAAAGTTAATTCTCCGAGGAACAAATTGTTTTTCTGTTTGTTTGGGTTTGGGTTTCTGTTTTTGTTTGTGTAAAAGCCCAGATTCAATATAAGTAGGCCAAAACAAGGATGGAAGTAAGGAACGGGTCCCTGTTTTCTATGCAGCTTCCTGAAGATGGTGAGGGGTGGACAGGCATACTTTGTGATCACTTTGACGTCGTTCCTAGTGAGTAAAACTCCATGGAACCTGAAGACGCTGCTCAGATACTCAGTGCACCGCTCTGGAAAGGTGCCTCCTTCCCCCCAACCCTTGCATAACAGGCAACGTCATAGTTGGGGTTAGAGTAGAATGCAATGCTCTTTCGGTCTCTGAGTGTATGTGCAACGACCTTATGACTGACATCCTCCCCCAGAGCAGTTTATTACACCAGGACCATGATATGTGTCCAACAAGGAAAGTGTAGTCTCCAAGTGGTCAGGCACATATCCCCCTCCCTTGAGCCACGTGACTAGTGCCCAAACCAAACTCACGGCATAGCGGTTTCACTTAAGGTCCCAGAACTGGTCATAACAAGTGGAGAAGTTCATGATATGTCTCTGCAGTTTTTTAACATAACACTGACACTCAGGAGAGGAAATCATTATCTCCCGGGATTAGGCAATTATGATGAATAAGGGCACGTTTGTACCTACCAGTTTGTGACCCAGGGCCCTACAAAAGTTCTAGAATGGGAAACTGGTTAGCTGTCATTAACTTCTTAGAGCACCTGAGCCGTTACAGACGGCAATAGGAAATCCCAGACTGAAGAATGGAGTCATGTTTGTTTCCCCGGCTTTGCGAACCAAGGAGGGAACATGGGGAGGGGAAATTCTATTTTTTTTTTCAGTAACTCTAGAGATGCAAGCGCTTAAAACCTAAAAGCTAACAACAACACAATAATGATAGTGGTGTTGAGACTTTGATACCTGGCTGTCCGAGACTTGAGATACCCAGAAAAAATTGCAGGTCCCTAGAGGCTTGCCTGCCTAATGTTAAAACCTGTCTGTCCTTGCAATGAAGTCCTGGGAGGGTAGTGGGGGTGGGGGTGGGGGGGGAGAGGGTTGTTTGTTTGTTTGTTTTGTTTAAATCAGTGAGGATAACTGTCTTCTTGGAAATTTTGTTTTAAATTTGGAGTAACAGTGAAGCCTTGCGGATGTTAGGCTTAGACTAGCTAAGAAAACCACTGTTTGCACAGCCCACTACCACTGTGGCCCTAGAATTAAGCAGAGTAGGTATTTTATCTGTCCAAAGCAGTTTCCAGCCCTGAGTGAGATTTTGTGCCTTTTCTCTGATTCAGTACCCTCATCTGTAAAGGGGCCACCCTGTGCCCTATGGATATGAGTCAAATGTATTAGTTTTCTTTGCTAGGCTGGCCCCTCACAGAGTCAGCACTTGGTAAATCTTTTCAAGTTTTGTTTCTAGAGTCCACCCTGAACACAGAACCAGGTATGACTACTGGATATTTTACCCAGTACCACACATTGGGATATTCATTTATAAATCACATGATTTATTTTTCGAAGTTCTGGAGACTGGAGTCTGAGATGGGGTGCCAGCAGGGTTGCATTCAGTTGAACGTTGTCTTCCTGGTTGTAGAATACTGTCTAATCAATATTGCTCTCACCGTGGGACAGGGTCCCTTAATAAAAGCAACATTTCCATCCACAAGGCTCTATCCTCATGATCTGATTCTTACCCAAAGGCCTCACTGGGGCTTAGGACTTCAATCTGAACATTAGGGCCACATTCACCTATTCAGTCCACAGTGAGGAGTAGCCTGAAGAACAAAATATGAAAGAAGAAAGGGAAAAGGAGGAAGACAAGCCTGTGGGATGCTAAAGGAAAATGGGCAGATAGTCTACAAAAGGGCCCAAACATGTCAGTACACATCTTGCATCTGCCAAGATGGGGCCTTTTGTTGCCCCAGCTCTGCCCTTTGTCCTCTCAGTGCCCTGCTGGCACAATCAGTGCCCAGATCATGAGCTGGGGTGACTTCTAAAGCAGATTTTTGTTCAAAGCCTAAGAACTTACTTTTGATTTATAGCTCCTTAACGGAAACTTCCACAGACTACCTCGTGTTCAAAAACGATGTAAGAAACTTAGGTGGCTATGTCTTCCATGCCACACTTTCTGAGGATTTCTCTTCTAAAAATTTTAACACCCCCAAGGTGTTAGCATTAAAGCCAATGAAAAGTTTAATTTCACGTCACCATAGTTAAAACTTCATAATAACCTTCCAGCCACTATATCCACTTAGGAGAGGTCAGCACATGCATCTTCCATAATCTGACAGTCCTTACCGAGAGAGCTTTTGGAGGACATTTACAAAAGAGACTTACTGCTAACTGGCTATGCTGCCCTTTAGCATGGCACACCACTAGACTTGAAGCGTTTGGAGGCTGAGTGAGAAGCCCAACTCTCTTTGGCTTTATTTTCTAATTAGAGAATGGAGATATGCGCACCTGGCATCCAGAATTGGTGCAAGAATGCAAGCAGATAATTTAGACAAAGGGTAAAGCTGGCTCGGCAGGCTGTTAAGTGTCCAAACATCCCATTTGCTCCCAATACCTGTTTTCACCCCGGGAGAGTGCAGGTTGCACAGGACTGC